ATTGTCCATTTTCCACTATAAGAATTATTTGCACAACAAGGAAGATAATGTCCCACAAGTATGGAGGCATCTTGTAAAATCTATTCAGGTCAGGTCTGGTTACAGAGCCTTTTGAGCACAAAACACTAATTCTCAGTAGGTTTTGAGTGTGTTTCTTCTGGAAAGGAACCACGTTCAAAATCTAGAGTATAAAATCTGCTAGATTTTCCTGATTTCCCACTAAGCAATGGACAATAGTCCAGGACACACATTGCAACTTAAAGCAACTCATTTTCATTTGCAATGAAAAAAAGATAATCTAAGCCTATTTAGCCATACCATTAGTGAGCCTACATTATTTGGAATGACAGGTTTGACTGTTTTGTCCTTGATGCAGGAAAAAATAAATGAACAAGTTGTTCAGTGATGACAATTCTTAACATAACATCAGAATTCTGGTCCCAATTCGACCCAGATCTAAAAAGTTACTTTAGGTCATCTCTGATTGTCAGCCTTTTCAAATATGAAATCTTTCATAGTCAAATAACGCATCATTTCCTGCTAACTATGCATTATTATTGGTTCACATTGAGTGCTTGCCTACAAACATAACAGTACTACATTAAGTTCTGGGGGATATTTTGACTCGACTAACTCGCTCATCGCACAATATCACTTCTATGTCAAATGAATGACTTCTGGCACAGTGTAATTGCAGGTCTGAGTCGTCTGATAACACATCATTAATGAACTTGCTCTCTCGTCTTACTCTGTACACTTTGTCACAACCGGGCCCCGAGCGTTTCCAGCAGGTCCACCATCGGAGGGTCGCTTATCGAGCCATACGTCAGCGGAGTAACACAGCGGTAGCGTTTATTTTCTCAGCACCACTTCATTCATCAACCCCCGTGTATCCTGCTACTGCATGAGCCCCCACGTCACACCAAGTTCAGCTGCACGCCCCGTGTTGTTTCCTCCATGCCGAGGAATCAGGGCGGCGGATTTGGACCGGCGGAACTCCTCGGACAATAATCCCATGTCGGTTAGTGCCTTTGACACGCTAACATGCTTCCTCTTGGTCGCTGTCCTATAACCGCGTATAGTATGGCACATTTGCACATACGCATACGGGAGCAGTGGTATAATCCTATTTCCACCTGTTTCTGATTACTGTAATTGGCCCATGAGGTTCAGGAAACCTGGGGGAGGGAAAACGACCCTGATGAAAAATGAGTGGAAAACCCAGAGAGGCTCTAAGTGAGAGAAGTCGCAGCGACATTAGGAGCGTTTTCTCCCCGTGTGTGTGTGAGACAGGGTTATCTTAGCCTCTCCCGTAATGTGAATCATTCATTTCCTCACAAAGACGTTTCAGAACCCCAGAGCCTGAAGTGACTCGTTGAGTGACGACGAGCACGAGGCCAAATAGATGGAGCACAGGAGCGGTGAGTCAAGGAACCATCGCGAGCCAGACAGAACCGATCCATCACGCTCCCAAGAGGCGGTACGGTTGAAGCCTTTTCCCAAAAATGACCTTTCACCGCAATGAAAACCGACTCATTCTGTTGCGTTGAGCAGTAATGCGGTCGGAGCGGAGCAGAGGTCATTTATTCACACAAAGCTGGGCTTTGAAAGTAGCTGGGATGTCTTTGAGGAAGAGATGAACGGCTCTACCAACGGCAGTAGCAGTTTCATCTTGTGACTCACAAACGTCGGCCCCGAGGACAACCACAAAGTTGTCATTACCATTTGTCTTAGCGGTTGTCGAGATATTTGGTTTCCAAAGGGCTGGTTTGGTTACATCATTAGAGCTAATGTGCATTTTCATCATTTCTTTTTCACTTCACGACCCGTGACTGAAACGTCACGGGTCCTGAAAGTTCTCTGTCCATGCAGGGTCTCAACAATTCTGGCTTTCATTTGGGTTATGTGTCATTGGGCTTGTAGCAGCTAGCATACTAGACATCAACACGTGAAGTCCAAAATGATGCATCAAAAGCAAGTGACTCACGCGGGCCGACGTTTCGCCTGACAGACACTAATAGCCCAGACATAATCTCTGGCGGTGACGAAGAGCGAACCAGACACCTCTTGTTCGGGGGTCATCTACCTGAGAGGATAAGATCAGGGATGGCCCACCTCTGGCAGGATGACTGAGCGGACTGTCAGCCCCGCTTTGTTCCTCCTGAGCCCCCTCTGTCTAGGGTACATTCGTCTGTCTGGGTCGGCCTGTGCAGGATCGCCGTGGGGGGAGGGGGGGTTGTACAAACACGCACTCACTCTGGGTGGGATAGAAGCTCAAAGGGTTGGTCTTTTTTTTTCTTCTTCTTCTTTTTCCTCCACGATTCGACCCGGTGAATGGAGCGTGCCTTGCCAAACAAATGCATCATTTGGGTTTCCATATGAGGTGCTTGTTTGTTGTGATGGCGGATCTTTCCCACTGATGTCATCTGGAGCAGGTCCACACGGAGCCATTTCGTATCAATGTTATTCTGAAAAAGATGCTGCTCTAAAATGACGCATCGCCAGGAAACGCCTCCAAGCCACAAAGTCTTGCTCGAAATAGCTGCGGTTTGAAAGAGTATTGCTCTTAAATCTCTGCAGCGCTGTCAAGAGGCTTTTCCTTTTTGATGAGTGTGTCTGATAAAATCTGCTCGACGCGAGACATATTTTTCTCGGTACGCTTTGAAGACGCCTGTTGTCCAGGTGAACCGCGTGTTTGGACATAACGTTCCCACTCCACCTTGACTTCTGGCATAGGCAGTCTTCTCCTCCACATTGTTTACCACGCATCTCCTTTTGGGACAGCAACAATTGCTCCTCTCAGGGCCACATTGACAGGAGGGAAACATCAATAAATCTCATCAGACTCCATGGATCTGATTTATTTCAGGCTCAGCATTGTTTCCGGGCGAGACGCGACCCCCCCCCCCCCCCCCAGGAGCCGCTGCGGAAACAGTGAAGCGGTTCTTGCGGGATGTTACATTTTCTTCTTTTTATGCTCATGTTGATCTTCATAACAAAGTGGTGACAGACTCGCGCTGTTAAGACGTCAATCTCTTCTTCTCTGTCTCTCATGCAATTTTTTGCTAAGAGAGTTGTCCTTCAACTCATCTTACCACTTCCCTGAGCTCCGTGTCAGTTAAGGCCCCCCGCATCAGGCAGTTGTCAACCTTCTGACAAGGTAAACACATGACATCATGACCGCTGACTGATCACTGTTTTACTTGCGGGGCTCACAAGGAGGCCCCGCTGAGTGAGGGTCATCCATCGTGACCTTTGCGCATCGGTTGTTACCCCACGTGATCGGGTATATTTTCAGCGGATGGATTAAGGATATACAGGCGGTTTGGTTCTCAGCCAGCATAAAGGACGTCATGGACCCTTTCACAATGCAGGTCTCTGGTGAGTCGGTATAATCCCGGGTGTCACATCTACTTTCCATTTAGCGCTAACAGCAAAGTTATCATTAAATCCCAGACACCGCAGAGTGTGCAGGCCAAAAGTATTTCCTATTTCTGATAGTATCAGTTTATTAAGGCTCTTGCCAATGCTTTTAAAACTATGGATATTAGGAGAGCACGTCTGCCATCTAGTGTTGATGAGTGGTACTGCAACCTCTCAGGGTCTTCTGGAAAAAGCTTTTGGAAATTGCGAGATGCAAACAGTGTTTGTTATCATGGAAACGGTGTGTAATTGTTTTATTTCTGCTTTGGGAAAACTGTGTCAGCATAGTTGCTACTTAAATTAGATTCCATTTAATTTAGCTGCCGCCCTCACCCGAAGCAACTTACAATAATCACATTCCAATACGAGGGTACAAACCCAAAACTCAAGTCAAATCTTTGACAAAGCCAATCCACAGTAAGAAGCATCACCCATCATCTTTTTTTGTATGAGCATGTGTGTTTCCCCTTTTTTTGAAGATTCATAAATCTCCTGTGAGCTCCTGGTGTGTAGTTTCATGCTTATATAAGGTAAGGTCTTAAAACAGGAGCATATGGGAGTAAAGAGAATAAGGCCAAGACCGTGTGGTCACATGTGTTCTACATGTTCACAGTTCACAATCTGTCTTTGCTGTAATTCTTTTTTCATCCCACAGTACTGTGGTCAGGTATCTTTACTGAAGGATTCACTTAATTTTAAAGATTTGAAGGAATGAAGCAGGGGAAGCATCTGCGGGAGATTCCCTCAGATGTTCAAGGCATTTATGACATTTGAATGAAGCCAAAAGTTAAGAGTTTAAATGTGTAGAGGTTTTTACCAGAACAACTTTCATTCTCAGTTTCATTCCATGTCTGCGTTTGCACATGAAACAAAAAGCTTTACAGCCCCTTGAGCGTTCTTTCTTTGCCCAATGAGCATTCTAAAACATCTGACGCGTAAAAACCAGAAAACCAGTTCAAAGGTCGGGTACAGCGACAGAGCAAACCTTCCATCACTGGAGGAACTTCGATATTACTTCCAAATAAAAACATTTGATCACTGATCTTGGTCGTGTGAACGCGATGTTTGTGTTGAAAAAAGTGAAATATGCTACGGACTGAACACAGTAGGCTCAAAACCTCAGCAATAACATTCATATTTTATGTTACTTCAGCAACGTCAGGCCTGATCACTTACACGTGTGCGCTCCAGATCAGTCTGCATTCCTCTGGCTCGAATGTTCGTGATGTGGCCGAGGGGAATGATGACTTTCCTATCAGTCCAAATTATCTGAAAGGGCATTTTCCTCCTTGGTGCCGTATTTACATCCAAACTCATTTAGGTCTGGTTCACGAAAGTAGGACTGCTATATATCAGCGTCAGCAAAAAGAACACATTAAACCCTTCAAAGCAGGGCAAACCATTTTAGAAAACACATTTTATTTTTGCTTCAGTGGGACTTCCGGCAGATTAACGTGTGTGTTTGCAGAGGTGGTGACACCGGGACACATGTGGTACTTTCATTTGTTCTCTTTCAACTGTGCATGAGTTATTTTATTAAAGAGGTCTCATGACCAAGGTAGAGAAATTATTGCATATCATTTTCACGGTATTTTTATTCGGAACCAAAAATTACTATTACATGAATGGAATTTGACTGATTTAGCTTCCAAAGTAGTTTCCCACATTTTATATTGTGTATAAAAGTTCAGTAGAAGTCATGTGCTCTAAGCAAATAGATTTCTAAAATATAACAACTTTGTGTGCTAGTATTATACCGTTGTATATTGGCTATCATTCCTTCTAATTAGACCACCGCAAAAAAAGCAGCGACTCCAAGAAATAGGGAAAGGACGCTGTGGGCGGCGCTGCTCTCAGAGGGAGAAAACAGTGGTGACACGATGACGGTGACGCCCGGCCTACAGGACTCGCAGTTCTCACCGCAGAGGAAGCAGGGGGTCGTGCTGCGCAGCGCGTCCGAGTTGTACGTTCTCGTTGCCTTTCTCGCTGTGAGATGGGGGGCAAATAATGTGATGATCAGCACATGACACGGCGTGAATGTCGCCGAAGAGGCACGAGACGGACGGCAGAATCTAACGACGTGTGGCTGCACTCACTGGGTTCGTAGTAGTCGTAAACCCGAACCACGGCGTCCCGCACGTGGGCCACTTTGTAGTCTTTGGTGACCGGAAGTCGGATACAAACCTCGGACTTGTTGAGCTGCAAACGGGGCCAGTGAAGTCAATATAACTCAATGTAACATTTTCTTACCTTTTTTATTCTGTCCATTGTTGTGAATATGTAAAAGTACCTTGTGATGTAGGTAGTCATGTCTATCTTTAAGTTAGTAAGACCCTAGTGACCTGTCAATCACAAGGTAGCCACTCCTCAAAGCATTTGACTCTAAATGAGACCCTCAATATACTCGATGAACATCATGCTATATTGGCGAATAATCTCATCTTTACAGTGTTTTCGGAGGTAATAAATAAGGTGAAAAGCCGCTCATCAAAGAAGCGAAGCGGTGAAAGAAAAAAAAAAATCCCAAAGAAATATGATACGGGTTAGTCAAACACACAAATGAGATTGTTCGAGTTCTGACAAAATACAACTACAATGTACATGGAACGAGCCCATGACGAAACACTTACTGAATCTAGGTACAGGCTGACTTTATCAGGAAGGATCTCCACACTTCGGATAAGATCTGTTGAGGCAGCAGCTCCGGGAGAGAGACGGAAACCACTGAGCATGCCCACGTCCACTATGACCATCCCCGTATGAGGTATGGCCTGATTCGCCTTTAACCTACAGAGGACCAGGAAAAAGTACCAGATTATGGTCTGTTGTCTTGTGGATAATTTGAAATGCGTGACAACTTTAGAATAAAACGTGTGAGATGAAGTGAGAAACGGTCGCTCGGCGTAGCGGTACTCACGCCGTGCATATCGACAACAGCATGTGATTGAGGTCTGCTTCCCCAGTAACACCAACGGTTAATGAGAACGCCTCCTCGTCCTGTGAAAAAGCTTCGGTCTCCAAGTTGTAAAAGATGTTCATCTGGGATGGATTAACAAAGTTGTTTTAAAAGTGTAAAAAATTAGATTTAGTTGCTTAAATTTACTGTACTGCCTGATCCGCCCCGCTAAAGGATATATGAAGATGCCTCACGGACATAACAGCATGAAGCGAGAATTAAATAGAGATCATCTCCGTATATATTTTCAACGATAAAGTATTGAATCGAAGTATAAACAGGATGTCAAGGTTTGTGAGATTGAGCACAATGAAATGATTAACCTCTCACCAAGGTCCTGCCATGAGTGCGTAAGTTGATCCGGAGACACTTTCAAGCTAGAGTATGTGTTCCAGATGTTAATTGCTGGGAGTCCATGATCATGCTATATTTGCGTTTGGCTGTTTTGGTTTAGCATTTTCAACGCAGTCCGATGCGCTGGGTGACGGTAAAGTGCACAACTGCCGGGTTCAATTTATTCTGGTACGGTTGAATGTTTGATGTAGGAAAACATTCCTGCGTTGCGGGAGGTTGTGGAGTTAGTTTTCCTTAAATGAGAATTGTTTCCACAGAGTTCCAAAAGCTCCAAACTAATCCAATATGAACTCTACAGACAAAGAAAAACAGGACCATGTTATTACCCTACCTGAAATATTGCAAATCCTCTTCCCTCCATGTATATATTTAGGTTTAGATCTTTGTCAGAATTGATCTGAGGAACAAAGAAAGTGCAGTTATAGTCACATATTAAATTAAAATGCACATCCCAAGCGCAGGATTCCACCCAGGTCAGTTACCTCTTGGCTCATTAACGTCAGATAGGTGGCGGAGTTGATGCTAAAGAGTGACTCAAACGAAGACGCTGGGGCAGATACGTTGAGCGTGAGGTCGATGGCGACGGCGCCGCTGAAGGCAGCGTAAACTGCCAGGGCTTGGAGGGCGACCACTGTGTCCTGAGAGAGAGAGAGAGAATGCTCGCCAGTACAACGTGGACCCGAACGAACCGGTCAGCCGCACAGGTCAATAGATTGGATTGCGTTGGGTCACCTGTGTCGTCCCGTAGCCTCCCAAATGGTTCCTCTGCCTGCTTAACCATTTCAACATTTCAAAGCCGTCCACAAAGCTGCCGCGCTTGTAGAGCGCCAGCAGCACGTAGGAGGCCATCTCGATCTGTGCCGAGCGCGGCTGCCAGCCATGTGACCCCAGGCCGGCCGAGGATCCCCACATCATGACGCCGTCTTTGGAAGAAAATCACACTTTACGGCGTAGAATCTATTGTGCTTATGTGATTTAAGTTCTAGCACTTGACCAGATGGTGGCACAATACAGTAAACTCCCACGAATGGCACAAACGTTAACCTGGATTAGTTTCTAAATCAACTATTAGTATTTCAGGGTTCCTGAAGCAACATGTTTTATATTTTTGGCTGCACCATATTTCTTTTATCATCTGTAGTAAAAAAAAAAACGTTTGCAAATTTGTAATTTGAAAACAACCTTTTGTTTTTTAGCTACAATGAATGTGCTGATCATGACGTTATAAATTACAAAGTTTATCCTGAGATATGTCTTCATGGTTTCTTCACCATTAAACATCTAATTTCTGGCAAAATTTACATCAAGGCACTGGTTATAAATGTATCAAATATTTGTAGTATCCAAAAAGTTTAATCCGACATATCATCCACATGTTTCATTGGATTGTATGCATGCAGTAACTAAAATAGCAATAATTACAAGAAGGATTTAAGAAGTGACTTTTGCAAATTCCTTAAGAAACAAACGAATTACCTCTGTGGTCAGCTCTCCTGTTGAGCTCAGCCAGGGCAGCGTCGGCCACAGGACTTTTGGCCATAGCTAAAGCATAGGCCACCAGGCACAAGCTGTAGTTACTGACGATCGCTCCACTGGACACTTTGTTCTCCAGGTACCTCTGGGCCAGGGACACGTTGTCTTGGTAAATGTCCTTTACAAAGACAAACCAGGCAGAAGACCGTTACCAACAACTAGGGCCGTGACGGACCGCCGCCGGTCAGAGATCCTCATGGTTTATACTGGTGGAACGTGAAACGTTGATTCAAAACACATTTGAACATTAATGACTTAAAACTACCATTGGCATTTCCCCCCTATAAAATAGTATGACAAATATGACTATAAAATGTATTTTTTATGCTTTACACCAACACCCAAAATAATTTGAAGCCTTGTAAAGCAGATGATTCAATCGAGCAACAAAGGGATCTGTGTGCAATTGGTGTTGTGTGAAAAGTACAAAGGTTATGTTCGCTCCCTATTTGCCCTAAAATACACAAATTCCTAGAACTCACCACCAAGCCGTTGTCCTCCAGCAGTGCCATCAGCACGTAGGCAGTGAGTCCCACCGAACTATTATCCAGTCCTCCCTGCATCTCCGTGGAGATCAACCTGCCCACCTCCTCAAACTCACCCTGGGGCCCCTGCAGTTTGAAGAGCCAAGACGCGGCTCTGGACAGGACACTCTGGTCAACCTGCATGTAGGGCTGAGCCTGGAGGAGGCACCTCAGCACGAAGGCCGTCAACCTTGGACCACAGGAAGGAGAAGCTCCATGAGAGGCCTTTTAATGCAACACTAGCGACGATTGAGCGAAACGAATGCTCTTGTGGCCTGCGGCCATTCCACTGGTGACCAACCATGTGCTACCGGAGGTATCGCTGGCTCCGAAAGCGCTAAACGACCCGTCATCGCGTTGGAAGGACAGTTGTCTTTGATATCCTGACAGAAGGAAATAGAACAAAGTTTCAAAATGAGTCCAATAACTAAACAGTATGTATACAGTACATGTACGACAGTGACTTGCCTTCCATCATGTGGCCCAGTGCTCTGCTCCGGATCTCTTCATTGTCCTCAGTTGATTTGTTCAGGTACTGGATAACATAAATACATGGAGCAAAGTGGATCATGTTCTGCTCCCCACAACCAACGGGCTTCTGAACCAGCGAGTCCAAGTTTCTGATGGACATGGCCAAGATGTCACCTGTGAAAAGCAGTAGATGACGGAAGGAGGAGGGAGTTAGCTGTTGCACAGGTCCATGAATGGCCTTCAAATCTTAAAGTTACAAGGTATGGAAGAATGGAGAATAAAGACTCTTCTGATTCGAAAGCTACAGTAGAGGAAAAAAAGTCAATTTTCTACATGACATGAAGTACAGAAACCACAAATATGGTCCCATCCGAGGAAAAATCTGGGCTCGCCTTTCTACTGTGACGAATTCCCAACATCAAGTGAAACGGCTGCTCAGAATCTGCCCACACATAAACATTCCCATTTGATGTCAATTATTCCTTGTTCACAAATGTTTCAGGACTCATGCCCACAATCATCATCTATTCACAATGGAAAATGTGGGAAGATATTATACATGCTTAATGGAGTTCAAGCAAACGTGAAAAAGCCCCAAAATGGAACAGGGAGGACAAAACCGTGGACGTACCAACCAATGCCACGTGGGCCCTCTGGCTGCCCGCTACCACATCTGGTGGAAAGGAGAAGGAGACGGATCTTGAACTGCTGTTTTTCGTTGGTGCCATCTCCAGGAACAGAGTCTCTGAGAAGGAGTGTTCAAGTCCCTCCGGCTTCGAGAACATGGAAGTTATTTTTAGGAGTAATCTCGTGCCACGTAGCCCACTTTGTTTATGTACTGGGTATTATTATTGGATATCATCCAGTTCCCATCGTACCACACCTTCACAAGCAGTCTCCAAACAAGTGTGTCTGAGGCCTCGGCCGACATGGCCTCCACGGATACTTCCATCTCGCCCAGAACCACGGGCCTTATCGGGAACAGCGCTGGAGCAGCACAATGACTCCCTATGGTGAGTTTGTGGGCCGTCACCACAGAGGCATCCCCTTTGTCCACCAAAACAAACTCAAAGGCCTCACTCTGTGTTAGCAGCACAAATACCTGTTGAGAGAAACTTCTTTTGAAACATGGAATGTACCTTCTGTTTGCCATAGATGACAGGGATTTGTGGAAGATGCTAATAAATCATCAGGTAGGGAGTAAAGTACTACTTTCCAGGTCAGATGATTTACCAGTCTGGTTTTAGCCGGAATGTTCCACAAATGTAGCCGTCCATACCTCGATGTCGTGCTCTAAATGGTTGATGACGGTCACCTCCAGCACAATCTCCTCTCCTCTGATGAGGTACGATGGGACATCCAGAGACAAGGAGAAATCTTTGGAGACGGTCAGCTGTGAATAAGAGAACATACATTTCCAAAACAACTTTGGCTAACATTGGTAGTAGGAGAAATTAAACTCACAGTAGGGTTACGACCTCGAGAATTGTTAAAGCTACTACTATATTTTTATTTTGTTAGTCTGTTTGCTTCGGTCTTGTATAGCCACACCAATTGGAAATCGCTCCCCATGTCTCCTTTCCCCTTTCAGAGCAAACAAAGAAGCTCAACATCCTCTTTGAAAAATGACACAATTAGATATGCAGAGGCTATAGCGAATATTCAGTTACCTTTTGTGGCACAGAAGAGAAGCCCAGACCCCGTTTGTCTGACATCACCAGTGCAAAAGCGCCCAAAGACGTAACGCCATCTGGCACTGTTACTTTCCCACTCGTCCATGTTTGATTGCTGTTGGAAGAGAAAGACGAAAGTGCGACATTGAATGCATTCAATGTCCCTGAACACTCATTTCAATCGCCAGCACACTGTGTTTACCCTTCAGCACTCACGTCACGCCAGTGTCGAACCATAGCAAGGATTCGGCGGCGTCCATCCAGTGGCTCCAGTACTGCTCCACCATCAAGTCAGCTCCGCCTTAACACGCAGAGAGAGAAGAGATCAGTAGTGTAATAAAATCCAGTGGAAATTGTGGGTCAAATCTAAAATGCTAAATGGCCACAACAGAGAGCACCAGAAAAATAATTTAGGTGCCGTATTAAAAAGCATCACCTTGACTTGGTGTGCTATATATCATACCATTTGAAGGTCCATCAGGCTTGTTTTTCTGGTGTATTTTGGCATTGGTTATCATCCTAATATTACATTCCTGTGGTTTGAAAGACACAAAGACAAAGATAACAATGGTAAACCTGTTACATTAGCTGATAATATTACAGCTAAAAGGGGGGGGGGGGGGGTTGCATTCAGATTTAAAAAGCCTGTACAGAGAAGTCCACTATCAGATCACGCATTGTTGGTGTGAAAGCCTGTAAAATATAGGTCAGGCCAGCAGGTGATTTAAGGAGTAAAGCGGTCTCCGCTCTGTTGATGCCCGAGGAGATCCCGCTTGTTAAACTAGTGTATTCTACTAGACACAATACACGGCATCTGTGCTATGGTGATGGGCAAAGGTCATTATTAAGACGGCCCACTGTGGTGAGGCTTTGTTTCCTTCGCCTCGCACCCATGAACAAGCCTCCGGTCCGCGACTCAGCACACTAACGTTACCACTTCTTAGAAACAACAAAGCAGACAGATGGATTACACCTAGACCAACCGGCTGTGTAGTATCTAACTGGGAAAAGTGTGTGAAGTGTTTCACAAAGAAAGAGAAAAATGACGCAAATCTGCTTTAAGTTTCAGAGATGCTATTTTGCGTTCTATAAAAGATATAAACTTTTTAACCCTTTAAGCCTTTTGGCAAATTAAAACGGGTGATCACACCTGCTCCGCTTTGAGGTCAGCAGGCGGAGCGTCGTCCTGCGTCTCCGTCACCACGACTCCCAACACGGACTTCGGTTCAAGAGCTGTCGCGGTGAGCGATACCGGCCCCCCTGGCTGAGCTTTGTCAGAGCTCCAGCTCAGAGAGCCCTGAGGAAACAAACACGCAAAGAATCACAGGCACGTCCGGGAGGATCCCGCGACTATCACAAAAATTCCGTAGAAACACATTGAGGAAGGGAGAGTACGTAGTGTTGTTGGTTGACGGGTATGTGCGCCGTGTCCATGGTGACCTCTCCGTCCGAGAGGATGCAGTAGACGGTGACGCGGGCCTCAGGGGACCAGGACAAGGTTGGAGTCAAAGAAAAAGAGGAGGGCGTCGTTGTCCCGGCGGCCAACACTTGCCCTCTGGAGCTCACCTAGAAGTACAACCATAAAAGTCATTGTTTGCTTTTTAAGGACCCTGACGTGGAAATGTATTATGTTGTTGAGGAAAAGAAAAAACTTTTTTATATTTATTTATTTGCTTGATTCAAAATATCTGACCAAACATACCACGAAGTGCATCTCAGTTGGTTGAAAGGTGCTCATCACGTCTATCTGAAGAGGTATTCCAATCTGAAAGATAAGCATCCAATGTGAATTGTGTCTTGTTTCCATAATCAGCATCATCTCGTTTCTTTACCGACGTATCCCAGTGGTACTAAACATGTGTTTAGAGCTACCTGTGCTTGAGAGTTATTGATTGGGGAGATCTGAATATAGGAGTCACTGGGAGAGACGTTGTTGTTGTAGACAGTCAGGGTCTCCTCACTGGATTGGAATCTTGCCTGAATGTCAACACAAGACACAGAAGATATGAAAAAATAATAATATTAATTTCAACTTCAATAACCGTATCATCAACGCGTGTTTGCTTAGGCAAAAGTGAGGAAAGTAACTATAGTGTCTGTTAACACTGTTCTGAAGTTTATGGATTCACACTGAAACTACTCACATTACGTACAACGAAACTGGAGGACCAACATCCCTCGTTCCGTTAATAAAACAACACCCACCCGAATGAAAAGCATCCCTATTTGATCTCGTAACTTGAGCCGAATGTGGACGTTCCCGTCCTCAGGCACCGGAAGCGCCAGAGTCGTCGGTTCGGCGGTCACCGTGGATGTTCCCTGACTGACTTCAATCACAGCAGAGTGATTCACATCCTGCGCGCTGAGCGGCTTTCCGTCGTACCTGGAGATCCTCAGCTGCGCAGGGAGACGCAGCGCGGAAGGAAAATTTAAAAAACTGGGACATCAGTTTAAAAATAGATGTTGCATGAGCGGATTAATAATAATTCACTCACTTCCGCGGCGAAGAATAGAGACGGCTTCAGCGTAGGCGGCGAGTCGTGGAACGCCAGCTGGAATGCGGTCCTCGTGCGTTGGACTTGCACTGTTTTGTTCACTGTGAGGCCTTTGGGGGGGGCGGACAGGAGATGCTGTAGCAGAACGGTTCGAAGGGGCAACTGGGACGCTTGAACGGACAAGGCCTCAAAATGTACCTCACCTGTGGAATTGTCGGTAACACAGACTGAAACATGTACGCTGCTGTTGGTTCCTTGAAGCAGATCCTTGCTGAAGAAAAACCGCGTCGACCCATAGATCTGGAACGGAAAAGATGTCGGCCGGCGCCGGTCAGTGTGCAGAGACTTGCTGTGCCAACTGTAAATTAGTCATAAAGCCTCACCGATGTAGTTTGTGTCGGCATAAATGAAGCTTTGGGAATCCCGTCGTCCAGAGTGACCGACGCAGTCAGTGTTCCCTGAACAGGTTTTCCACTCGGGTAACTAGGTGGGGAAACGAGAATAGCACTGCACCATATGCTGAAATGTAACGGCATGAGTTTGCATGAGTTGCTGGAACTCACAGGGCTCTCACTGATCCCGATATGTCCTCTCCAACGAGGACCCGCGAAGGTGTCCTGAGCAGCACTTCAAAGTGGGGATGCTCTGCAACGGCAGACAGGGCAAGGGAAGCAATCAGTGACAGTAGCAATCGGCCACGTTCATTCTGTTGTATTAACTCTCAGAAGACTAAAGGTTGGAGACTGATTTTTTGAATTTTTTGGGGGGGAAAGGAAGTACTAATCCTCTGGGGACCATGATTCTGCACAATAATGACAGTAATCTCTCTTGATCGACTGACTGCCGTCCAGCATTGATATTGCAATAGACCTGATATCTATTACCGTAATGCTCCACAGTGAATGCTCTCGCGTCAGTGACGCCCTGTAGGGAAGAAGATTGAATTCAATGCCGCTTTTTTAATTCAAGTGAATGAGCAGTATTTCTTAACAGCATGGCGCACACAGGTAAATGTATTTATTTATTTATGTCAGGCCCACCTGTATGGTGGTTGTTATCACCCACTGTCCAACAGGATTTGGGCTCGTGTGGCCACGGCTGAGTTCCCACACCACAATCCCCATGTTCCCAGTGGAATTCCACCTGTCGACGACGTTCCCTCTGGGATCCTGCACGTGACAAAAGGACGTCACTCAAACCTCCCACCGCCACACAAAACAAAAGATCCATTTTACTCCTCTGGCTTTGTTCTTTGACACAGACGTCTGAGACCTACCTGTAGAGCGAGGTCCACTCTGCCTTTGTACGGACGGTTATCGGACTGCACAGACACAACTCTGACTTTGACGCTGTCGCCTGGTTGGTAGCGCAATCTGTCCGTTTGAATGAAGGTGGAGACGTTCCTGGGGCTGAAGCTGAGGGTGGTGGTGTTGGTGAAAACGAGGTCGTTCTCTCTGTAGAAACTCACCGTTAGGTTCAAGGGGAAATTTGCAGCTGCAGTTCCAGGAATCTGGAACAAAAGTCAAAAGATATGAAGTAGAGAAAAGAGGGTTGTTGCGATGTAAGTAAAGTAAGTAAAAACCTTTTTTGAAAAAGTAAAAAATATACTAGGTCAAACATTTTTTTTTTACAAAAAAGTGATATGTAAGATAAAAAAATGTAAAGAAATATTAAATTGGAAAATATTGCGAAATGTTTGTGTGTGTTTATGGAAAAAAATGCAAAAAATATTTAGTTGAAAACTTGTATGGGGAAAAAAAGTCAAAACTTGTGGAGAAAAAAGTCTGAAAAATAATTTTAAAAATATTAGCTGGAAAAGTATTTTGAAAAAAAGTCAACATGTTAGGTCGAAAAAGGTCATAAAAATATGAACTCAGAATGTTCTGAAAAAATACGCTGTTGGTGCATTTTGAGACACTGAAAAGGTCATCTCATCATTATTGTTTTCACAACTGTGACAAATAAACAGAAGTCATACTCACAGGAGGGATTATGAGGACTTTAGTTAAACCTTAAAAGAAAACACAACGGCTACTTTAGCACAAAAGGTCAAGTGATTATGCAAAATAACCCAAAGCCTCCTAGTCTCTGCAGTATCACCTCCTCGGAAGTCCTCTGTCTGCACAACTTTGGTGTTGCCATGTGCCACCTCAGCAGTCACCCTCCCAGGGAAGTCAGCAAGGACAGTGATGGCCAGCGAAGTGGGTGTCCCAGCATGCACCACCTCTGGACATGAGATCATAAACAATGGCCTTTGAAGAAAATTGAAAGAGCGGCTTGTTATGAATTAGCAAAACAAGTTGGAGCATGAGATTGAAAAAACTGCATTAACATAGGGATTAAGACTGCAGTAGGACAATGCGAACGGACCACGTCTCTTACCTGGATGAGTTGAGGGACAAACAGGGAACAGCCGAACACACGACTGCTGCACACACCACCAGAGCCCAGATCCCATCCATGCTTCTGGTCCACACGTTCAACGCCTGGTTCAGACGCAGAAGTGACAGCGGCCGCTCCGCTCCGCGAAGTGACCTCGACCTTACGAGATCCCTCCCTCCCGTGTGTGTCCGCCAACGCCCCACGGGGGCCGCAGCCGCACGCCTATACGCACTCACACACACACACACACACACACACACACCGGGATGCATGCACATACCATCACACGTCTATTCTTTGTCACAAAGGAGTTCACACACTCTCACACCTTAGCCCAGGGGGGGACACGTCTCATCTGTCTTTTTTGGGGGGGGGTATTAGAAATCCCAGAGAGTGTCAGAAAAAAACAAGCCACTGAGGCGCTAACGTGCGACACAAAACCACCTGAGAGGTGACACGTTATCAGTAAACTAAGTCATAAGTCATTTTAACCTGAAAAAATGGGTTCTCATGTAATTTTTCTCAATTTTAGCACTGTTATGGAAGGGGAAGACACATACTTATGTGTAACACAAAGGGTTTGTGTAATTGCGGCTGGCGGGGGGGGATGAGCTGACCTTGTTGGATCATGTTTTAACCTCGAAGCAGAAATTAAAACCTTCACCGAGCAACGTGATAACAGGCACAACGAAGGCCCTTATTAACTCTTCCTCACCAGCAGGAGGTAGTCAAGTCAAGGCTAACTCCTCACTTCAAAGCTGTGCCTGTTAGAAACTGGTAGACATGGGACCGCTTTACTGTGCTTAGTGCTTTTATTAAAGTAAACGTTTCATTTACTGACAGTTGTTCTTTGGGATTCCCAGGGATGCACAACACCCACAGTGCAATTTACTTCATATTAACATTTTATTTCTTTGGTATTTTCACTCTACATACATATAGACATGTTTTAAAGTGTTGGTACTTTGGCCACAAACTCCCGCGTTGCATTTGCTGAAACTTGTTATCCCGTTTCTTGGCAGCAGTGTGACACGACAGAACGCTTCCGTGCATCTGTGAGGATGCAGGTGTCACCTGAGCTGATGCTGGCTGGTACTTTCGCTTACGTCACTCCTGTAATGCAACTCGCACCTTTGTTAACATGCAGGCACTTTTTTGTTTTGTTTTGGTCATTGCCATTCAGTCACTGCGTTCGCTGTGAGAAAACGCACGTAGTGTTCAGAGAAATCTGAACCCGACGGATCCTCTGACTGCGGCCTTTTCTAACACCATACCGAGCCCGTGGAAGGCAGCGGTTGTGTAACATCTGTACTGTACATCAATACATTCGTACACCAACAAGGTGTTTGCAAAAGTGCATATTTACAGAGTGCTAAAAAAGTCTAGGAAGAAGTATAATCTCTGCAGAGTGTCACAGGCGAGCTTAAAAGGCAAATCACACATTGGCAGTTTAAGGACTTCCTACAGATTTGATAAAAGGACATACAGTAATTTTGGCCAGTGTGAAGACTATACATATATCTTCCCTATAAAAAAAGGCCCCCATATTCTTAATCTATATGATGGTCAATCATATGTAAAATGTATTTTATTATCAGTCTCAATTGGTCAGATTATCTACTTCCACTTTGTCTAGATTCTGATCTATAAATCAAATGGCAGCAGACTGAGTGTACGAAAAATATAAAAATGAATGGGACAAGGATAACATGTCACTGCTGGTCGGAGGACATTTTCTGAAGCGTTTTACAAGCAGAGGGGACTTCGGTCCACAGTAGCACATTTGAAATACTTTTATGTTTTGACATCAAGTCTTTCGTCAAGTTTCCCGACACAAGAAAAGGCATTTAATAGTTTTCAGGGAACCATCTCAACTAATATGGTTTCTGTCCTTCAGGGTCCGCTGCGGGTTGTCACATCTCAAAGTGACGGTAGATGTTCTCCACGTAGCTCAGGACCCTTTGCCAATCAGGACCTCCTGCTCTCAGCATCTCCTCTAACGTCTACGGAGCAAAGAAAGGAAACGCATTTGTGAGCTCAGACCTTCATTCCGTGGTGGAAGGAGACAATTTGCAATTCTAAAAGACACGAAGGCGTACCAGGATTTGTTCAATCCCAACGGCCTCTCCCGTTTTGAACGCCAGGCTGAGGTTCTCCCTCTACGAAGAAAAGGAACGAACACCATCAATCACATGGTCCTATAAATTATACAAGCGGCAGGAGGCGGGTCCTACCTTGTTCTCCGGCGTGAGCGCGGCGTAAGGGACGTGTGAGGGGAGGTAGGTGTGGAACACGGCGCAGAAGGCCAGACCGTCGGCCCAGCTGCTGCTGAGTTGGTGATGTCGATATTCTGCACGGAGGAGGGGGGGGGGGGGGGACAGAAAGGATTACGGTGGCACCGGATAAGCCGATAGGTTTGAACAACCTATTGCTCGTGTGAACGGAATCACCTCGTAGCCGTGGGTTCGGCTCTGACACCAGCGGAGAAGAGAGTTTCTCTTTGAGCCTCCGTGGCGGCGCAGCAGCAGGTTGAAACCATCCTGGGACCTGACAAAGTGTGAAAGACTATATATGAAAACAGAAACCCTGGACCCTGTCATTGACAGGAAGGCCCGATGCTTTGCCAGCGTGTGGGTGTTTGGGGGAAGACTCACTTGGTGGGAGGCAGCTCAGTGAGGGTAGCGTTGTGCTTGTTTAGAGACCCCTCACGTTTTCCTGCAAAGGAACCATAATTCATTACACGACAGCATGCTATGATCAGGAACACTAAGCAGCGGTGGAGGGAGGCACGGTCAAAGATGCTTATCTTTCTACGTGTCTAAAGGGCAGCAGAGTGAGCTGTAAGATATAACATATGTTAAATAGATTAAAATGTTCTTATTGTTTCAAATGCAGTGGACAAGATGTATGAAGTTATACAAAATGGAAATACTCCGGTAAAGTGCAAGTGCCAGTAGCCTAAATATACTTAATCATATTCCACCACTTATTAGAGCCCAGACTAGTCTAGAAGAGCACGGAGTTCTTCCCAGATCTAACGTCTGAGTACACCAGTTGATCCCTTTTCAAACTGTACAAAAAGTTTATTTTCGAGGCGCCTCAGCGTGTTTGTAAATGGCGTACAGTGGCGCATCGTACTGACAGCAGTGATGTGAGTCTGACGCATTTAGGTCGTCGAAGTGATGGCGACCCATTTGTAAAAAGGGTTGCTCTATAAACAACAACTACACAGGGCACCATAAATATGTAAAGGGGTAAAACTGGTTACATGGAAAATATGAACACACCCACCGGTTTCACTACTCGACCGGCTGTCTTGCCAATCCAGACTTCTTCGGCCTCTCAGTTGCCCCGAGTTCTTCACAAACAAGACAACACTCATTCAAAATTCTGCTTGAATCACTACACACGATCCTCAAATCATGAATTCAGCGTGCGTGCATTTCCTGGCTAAGACGCCAACTCTAATGGAGGTGCATCCTGAAGATCTCACCTTGTTTGTCAGGCCAACGGTTGAGGCCGAATGGGGCTGGAAGGTTCCATTCTGCATGGTGGGGGAGCCCGAGGAAGCAGGTAGTCTGGAAAGGCTTCTGTGACATTAAAATAAATAGTTAGGACAACAGGCCACATATATCAAATCAACCACTTTTATCATATTAGACAGGTGTTTCACTCCAGCTGTGGAAAAAGCAGTTTGAACTGTCGCAGACAAAAGACACAACCATCACCGACCTGACCAAATTTGGTGAATAGTATTTATTTGCCACTAGTGGGTCAGAGAGAAAAAATGTGGTGGGTTCTTGACTTTGTTTGGAAATACCTTACGGTCGGAACACATTTAAGTGCCATTTATACGCGAAGATGATGCATCAGTGTGTTCCTTCGCCTTCGCCCCCGCCCCCCCCCTCCCCAAACATCACACAAAGGTCACACAGTTCACCTCACCGTGACCTCTCTGTGGTGGCTGTCCTTCGAGCCTCCTCTCCGTCCTTTTTGGTCACGTTCCTCAGGTAACGCTGGGTCACACCTTTGCAGTCCGCTCTGGCGTCCTCGACACTCCTCGTCGGCCCGTCCTGACTCCTGCCCCCGGCCCCTCCCCTCCCCGGCCTGCACGGCCCCCTCTCCCGGCCCCTGGGGGTCCCTCGGTTGCTCTCAGGGTCCTCGGTTGCTTCTCCGTTGGGCCTCTCTGGTTCCTGACGCGGAGCCTGGGCGACAGCAGCCAGCCTCTGCCTGCTCTGCTTCAGCTCCCCTCTCAGGGCCACCAGGTGCGTATCGGCCTCCTCCTGTCTCTGCCGGGAAGCGGCCAGCTCCCGCTCCACGTCCTCGTGCGCCGAGCGCAGCGACGCAAGCTCCTCCTCGGCCTCGGCCCTCAGGCGGTCCGCCACCGCCACCGCCACCTGCAGGTCAGCCTGGAACTGCAGCCAGTCGCCACGCTCTGTCTGGAGGGCAAAGAACAGGGCAGGGAGGGGGTTCAGGTAAAGAACAGAACATATTCAGTCATTTAAATATCCAGCAGCAGATTTAGTTTCTTATTTGACTTCTGGGTCAAAATCCATTATAAAATCAGAACAGACGGGCAATTCCTACAGCGGATATTATTCTACTGCAAATCCTATTTATACAATAACTGAATACAAAGGATATCAAAGGACTAAACTGTCATTTTTAAACCCAAACTGGACTGACAGCCACAAACCAACATAGCTGGAGCCTAAGCAGACAACGACTGTAATCAAATATCTATTTGGAGAGTTGAACCGAACTGAGCAACAAGCTTCAGAGAGGACGGGAGCTGGCGGGTCCACTCCAACGAGGCACGACTGGATGGTGAAGGGTTTGCTCAGGTCATCTAAAAAAAACAACACTTTTGTTCTCAGCTTTTAGAAGAAAAAAAAAGATTTCAGCATTTTAGGATTTTAGCATGTCAAAGATTAAAGGAATAATAAAGCTGGCTTTCCTGGTCCAGACTATTGAGTCTCTGTAGTCGAACCGTATGTGTACGTGGAAGTTCGTCCATTTCGCACAGTGAAATTGGATGATGGTGCCTTTATTTCTGGCGCAAAAGGTCCTATAAATCAACCTTTTTCCGGGACGGAAAATATTCCAGCCCCAAAACAATTTTTATTTGCTGTGTGAACTACTCACAACAAAATTGAATTGATGAATGAAATTAATCCCACACAAAAACATGACACTGAACACAAGCTCAGTTTCCTTTCTTGAGGAAGACGGATGGCAAAGACACCAGGACCTAAAAAGAAAGGTTGAGCAACTATTATATTACAAGAGGGAATATAATAAAAAAGTGGATGAAATCATACACAGATTTAATACGGTTCAGACTTTGGAGGAACGTGAGGGAGATGAGGTGAGGAGGAGGGGAGCGGTTGGTAATTAGATGACGAATGGATGGAGATGTGGAGGAGGAGGAGGCAACATCAGAGTTTGACCGTTGACTCAAGACCACAGCTGGACTTGATTACACTGCACACACACACACACATCTCATATTACCCTTTTCTCTCCCACGTGCAGCTCCCTCGTTCTCTTACCACTAAACCACACTTCATCTTTCTCTGCACGTTCAGGGCTAAGCTGCGGCGCATTGTCTCCGGTAAAATGCGTCAAATGAATAGTAGCATCGTGGTCGTTTGGAGATGTTCTCGATTAAGTAACACACCCGTTTGGCCTTGAAGGATCTCGTCTTTGTTATCTGGACACGACTCCAACTGGAGCATGTCCGTTTGGAGAAACAGGAAGGAGTGCTCATCAGGTTCCCGCTGAGATAAGGGTGTGGATTGTCAGTCTTAAGAGACAAAACTGGAACTCGAGTGTCCCGCTGCAAGACCAGATGTGGTATCAGATGCATGCACATGCATGATTGTGTCAGCGTGTGTGCTAGCCATCTGTTCCCCTCCACACCCATCGTGGTTCTGAAACATTCAGAACCACTATTCAGCTCAGGCTGAATAGGCCGTTACAGCTATTAAGGGACATTTCACTTTCTCTACAGCAGTCAACCTAACGCACAAAACGGGAAAATTCCCTCAGACTGGCCCATATAAATGTCTACAGACGTCCAAGAAAAAAGGTCCCACGTCACTGCCATTAATTTGTCACTGCAAATGTGACACAAAGAGTCCCCCTCTCCCCAAAAGACACCCGTAAATCCTCATTCTACACGTGAACAGCCTGCGTGGCCTCCAGGGACCGGCCCCCTTTTTGCTGGAGCAGCCTAGCGAAGAGCAAAAGAAAGCAGAGAGGGAACCGGGAGATCATTCCTGGAAATCTCCGGCGGCGTTCACCTGGAACTGATTCCAAAGCGGGGCTTGTGATCGGCGAGGACTCCAGAAGGGAGAGAGCACAACTTTAACGAGCCCCCCCCCACACACACACACACACACACTACCCATGAATGAGTGTTTTCATTTTTGTCGGTCAAAACAATTGAAGAGTGGTGGTGCGCATAAGCACAGGCAGATGGCACATCGCATGAAACCCTTTTGTAGCTCGATGCACATTGTCCAACCATGTGTGTTTTTTAGAATTCAGCTGAACTACAGTACAGCAGGAATACATTGTGAATGTGTAAAGACAACGAGGGCATTTGGGGGCTGGAAGAATAATAACTTCTTATATTGAAAAGGTCAAAAAACGAGGTCAGAGCTAAAGCAAAAGGCCGAAGCCACTTTAGAGAGTCAGATGAAAGATGGACGAAGGAGGAAGAGCCTATTTCCGGGGCGAGGAATCGAAGTAGAGGAAGGCCTGGGCAGAGGGGCAGGGGAGATAGAGGGGGGGGGGGGAGGGATAGAGTGGCAGCAAAAAGTCTGAAGAACCGGCGGAGAGCCGAGGGAGAGAGGCTTCGGCGCAGAGCTTCAAAAGCCACCGCGCCAGCCCGGACTTTCAATGCATCCAATCGTGTCCATGAGTCCTCTGTCTCAAGTGGAGTGCACACACGATAACACATGGCCAGTCAGCCACTGCGGCCCCCCCACCCCCCACCCCTCCCACCCTCCACCCTCCATCTCGACACAGAGCACAAAACAAGTTGTTGTCTTCCCGAACAGCCGAATGTGAACCCCCCCCTCCTCCGCACTTCACTCCCCTTTCTCCGGCTCGCAACACAAACAGGCTCCCTGGGCAGCGGTGCAGACCGGGAGGGCTCATAAAGGCGAGCTCTGCGGGCTTATATTGCCCCACCGAGGGCCAGAGTAAACACAGTTTTGGATCGCCACGATTTTCTAATTCCTCTCACTGGTTCATTCTACCACAGGTCTCTCTGAGGTTCAGCTGGCCAGCGTTTCCTGGTCCCTTACCAGGTTGTGGGAAATCGGAGGAGAGGAAGGAAGGAAAAAACAGGAGAAAGCAGGCAGGAATATCAAGTAGGGACGGAGGTGACTGGGAAAGTGTGGTGTAGAGGAGGAAAGTGGTTGTCATGTGTTTCAGATTAGCGAGTGGTTTCTATATGATGATCTAGATCATTCATAGAGGCAGAAGGAGGACACGGGGGGGAAGCAGGAGGAAAGAGGGACGGGGTTCGACGGAGGCGTATCGTTGGGTCATATTCCAGCTGTCGTAAACTGTGGCAGATATAGAGGGAGCTGGGAGCCTCGTAGGGGAGGGAAGAATTTGGACAGAGCGTCGCACAGGAAATTACCGCTGCATATCGCCATCCCCATGAGAGCATGCACCGCCCGAGCAACGGGACCGAAGAATGCTTGCGGAGTTTACGTTTTGATCGTGCGTGGTTTCCACATCGCTAGCTTCGGGAACCCAATAGTGTTTCAAGAGTGGCAAAAAAATCAAATTAACCATGCAAAGAAACGGGTGTCCTGCTAGCGTTTCCACATTTAAGTAGCCACACCCCGACTGTCTAGGACAAACCAGTAAGGGCAACCAAACAAACTTTGACAGATGACAATCTCAAAGGTTTTTCCTCTTTGGGGCCCCGAGGAGACGCGGAGGACAGGAAGACCTCCATTAGCAAAGCTGCAGATCCCAGAGGGGCCACAGTGGTTCTGCGATGGAGGAGGGGTTTGAGGGGGACGGGGTATCGCTGTTATCTCCTGGACGAAAGGTCACAAGCGCTACTCTGACTGATGCGCGGCTTCCTGTTTACGTCGCTAAACTCATTGGATTTTGCTGGTTGAAGAGGTAATTGTTGCTAGCTGGAGCTAGCTCAATAAGCGTATGCTAGCTGCGTGCGTTTGGTAAAATCTTTGGGCGTTCCCAGCTGACTCGTTTTCATCTTGAGGGCCCTGCAAAATGCGTCTTAAATAACATGATAGTAGTTTCGTCAATGAGCTAAATCAGAGTGCCGCTTCACACCAGTGAGCCTGCACGTAATTAAACGCTTCCAGGCCGGTGGGTGGCAGCTCAATAATGGTTGTTAGGTGATGGTCATTATCATACCATGATCATATTTAAAAACAAACAAACTTTCTCACCTGTAAAGTACTCCTCAAACTCTTCACTTCTGTCAGTAGATGCTTTAGTACCTCTGAGGGAAGGACACAGAAATGTCAGATGACTTCCAATGCATATCATATTTTTAAAAAGTTTAAAAGGAGATCACCATCAGAATATTAAGTATATTGTTTTATTTCCCACCTGCAGTGTTTTTGGCCCCGTCCTGACTGGCAGTGACACCCAGTGTTGACCTACACTCTTCCAGCAGCTTCTCCAGCGCCTCGCCCTGGCCGTCCCCACCTTCGTGACCCCCCTGTAAAGACTGACTCCGACCGCTGTCCCTTTCCTTCCAGTTCGGCCCCGAAGAGCCGCCCACCACAGGTGAGGCGCTACGCGGAGAGGCGGGGCCCTTTGTGGCGCCGACGGCCACGGCCCGCCCCTGGGAGGCCAGAGGTCGCGGGGTGGAAGTAGGAGGACCCCCGTTCCTCCCCAGAGCATCTTGTCCTTTACCCACAGTGCTCCCTGACTTGTCGTGGAGGGGGCTGACTCCGGGGCCAAGAGTGAAGCTGTTTGAGCCGACCGGTGGATGAGGCCTCCAATCAGCAGCGGCACCGCGGGCGGTAGTGGTGGCGTTGGCGCTCGGCTGGGCTTTCTTCCCGCCGGATGGGGGGACTGGGACGGGAGGTGGCGATGAAACCGGCGCCCCGGCGGTAGGGCGAGGGGGAGTAGTTTGAAGGAAAGAGGGGACACCGGGCAGGGAAGGAGGCCCATCAGTCTGTGGAGAGGCAGGAGGAGTGTGGAAACTATCCCCAACTAAATCCAGATGAAACAAGAAAAGCAAAGACACGTTTTAAAAGACACACATGCTGTATATTGGGGCTTGAATGTTTGGTTGGCTGTGTTTAACTGTCAATTTACGAGGCTACTTGTGCTTTTGTTCCCCCGCTGTTCCAAACTCAAACAGAACTCATGCATATCATTTGTAATCTGCTTTGGATAACAATTCATCCTCCTTTAAAATGACTCCTACTCTTTCTCCCTAATTGAAAGATCCAGAGTGAATGTATATGTGATGTAATGGGAGCGTGTGTGGTGATTGGCTGGTCTTAAAGATTTAGTTAGGTCAAACATCCAGTATAGTAACAAAGCTGTAATGTTATGAATAATAATACAACACAACGGGATTGAAAGAACTGATGGAGAAACCGAATCATGGGCAGACTATTAAAAGAAAAAAAGGTTTACCGCTCACTACTGTGGTATGTTGGAACTGAAAAAAAAAACACATTCTGAGAGCCGAGCAGGCCGGCAAACATTCAGGCCGGGCCCCCGAAGATGAATGCTTTAATACGGACATTCCTCTGGAGCCGCTCATCCACAGCGCTGTGTGTCACATTCATTCTCTGACATTCAGGAACACACACACACTTACACAGAGGGGAAATGTTTCCCGTACATAGACCAATTTGCAGCAGGCAGGCGCGAATACATTTCCAAACCTGACACAAAGGCAATAACTCGGATGATTTAAGCCCGGTTCTCCTCGGCTGTAACAGCATGCCACTAATAACAACTTTAAAAGCTATGGGAACCACTGGGCTACGTGTATCCGTCTTTTCTTTCCACCTACTCCTTGTTTGGACTAAAGCCTCATTGCAAGTAAAACAAAGTGTTTTTTCCCTCTTTTTTTTTCCATGTTAGCAAAGTGATGCAGGGCCAGCTGCGAAGCCAAATCATTGGGAAAGAATGACGGGATTGTCTTGGAACTTTCTTGTGTCACCTCGGCTTTTTGTTCGTCCAGCCATGCGCACGGGTGGCAGGATGAGTGTGCGCGTGTGTGTGTGTGCGTGCGCGCGTGTGTGTGTGTGTGTGTGTCAGGTAGCATCAGGCCTCCTGTGATTAATCCGCTGCCCTTGTGCTGAGCTGGGGAATTCTGCCTATTCATCACAGCTGGCCTGAACGGATCACATAGGGACGCCAGGAGAATGACCACTCTCTGTGCAACACACAGGAGGCCGGCCAAGATTCCTGCTGCAGCTCAGCACGCACACACACACACACACACACACACACACACACACACACATGCACAACGCCTTTTCACAGCTTGCTTCTCCTTGTGTTGCCTGCAAAATCCCGAATGGCGCTCATTCACCCGTCATCTCCCCTCTCTTCCTGTGTTTCTTCCTGTACCATCCTCTTTCTACCTCATGTGTCAAGTGGGCTGACTTTCTATTCTCAAAATATCTCCAAACATGAGTCCAACACACGTTGCCAGGTCTGCGTGTACTGCCGAACATTGGAAATCCTGCCGTCTGCCGGGCTCGAAGGAGATTTAAGTGATTTGCTCCGAATTAGTTAAAAAAGATAATAACAATAAAGGAATTGAGGCTCATTGAGGTGTGTGTGTGTGTGTGTATTTTGTGTTGACCTACCTGTGGGTCCATGGCTGTCCTTGCTGGAAAAGTTACCCATACTGCAGTATTGGTGTGTGAGCCGATGATGGGGGGCCTGAGGGGGTTTGATGCTTTTTTTCACAGCTCAGACCAAAGTGACCTGCACACGCACACACACACACGCAGAGGACATCCAGAAAGATGAGGGATGAAGTGATGCGCTTGCACTATAGACAGTTAACCGGTTCAGGGACCCCCACGTCTTCAATGGGGGGATTGATTGAAACTCCAGTAAAGACAAACTCCGCGCCATCGAAACAACTCAACTAAGGGCACTAACAAATTGTATCCAACTTGTATCCAAAAGAATAACATGCGGCTGTAACGCCTTTGACGTTACCCAACGCCGTTTACGCGACAGTTAAATGTGCATCCGTAAGTTTATAAAAGCCCCTTCAACGTATCGCACGCGACGTTTAAAAGCGACGCGTCTGCATTCAAAGAGCAATGAAAAGCGCATACGAACCCCTTTTTAAAAGCGCAGAAACACCCCCCCACTGCGTTCTCGGAGAACTCTTCTTCTCCGCTGTCCGACGTGTCTCTGCGGCGCGCGGGCCGTGCGCGCTGCGCGCCCAGTGCGTCCCCGCGGAGGAGAGGCCACGGCGCCGCGTCGCCGTCCGAGCGCACTCTCGATCCCCGCGACATGCTGCCGCTGCAGACGTCTCACTAACACGCAGGCACAAAACACCGAAGCCAAAGAGCGGGGAGGAAAAAACCGAAACCCACCCAAACAAACCATCGGCGGAGAGAGCCGGGCGGCAGATGGCGGCCGGAGGGGCCGCTGGATGTGTCCACTAGATGCGTCCGCTGGATGCGTCCGCTGGAGGGCGCCCCCAGGCCGCGATAGGGACAACTTGTTGCCGCTGGGATGTTTTAGTTGGTCCTCGGCCGCTTTACTCTTTAATATGAAGCCGACCCGGTGACCCGGTGACCCGCTGTGGCAGACCGCGCCGGGCCGAGCAGCGTTATTGCACCCGAAGTTGTGCAAAATGATTTAAATTCAAACGACCCTCCCCTCAATGAATGCCTGCACATCAAACCGCTTTTATGAACTTTGAGTTGTATTATCCCCATAGTGGAAATCACCTTTCTGCTAAGTCTTTATTGGTGCATCGATTCAATATGCATGAATCTAAAATCATAAAATTGGATAAAAGACACAAAATGTTGGTTGATAGAACCGATTTAGAAGCAGCCCTGGTTCTGCTACGTTACAGGTTCAAATGGACTTGGTCATTGACCAATACTGAATAAATCATCTCAAAGGCTTTTACATGTTTTATCATTTTCTATTTGCAATGTGTGCTGCCTAATCCTTTTGATTGGAATAGGGATTGACTTTTGATTAAGGAGAGTGTGACCTCAAAGACAAAGACCCCCCCTAATGTCAAATCTGTGCCCTACACTTTGTAGTTTGAGTATCTCAAGTCAAAAACTCATTCAAATCAACACAAATGAATGACTCCACCATTATAACGTTGGAAAATCCGCATCTGATCTCTTTAACCTTATTCACAGCCAAACACCATGAATTGCACTTTGACTAAAAACACGTTTATTTGTCGGTACAAAAAGCATAACTTCATCGCACAGTATAAAAACAACAGGACCCACAAATGTGACTAAGTGCAACAGCAGAGCAGCGGGTTTGCCAAATGCTTTTATTTTCGTAAATCTCCTCCAACATCTTTTCATTAAATATTCATTATATCGCTAACAGAAAAATACTCTGCGTTAATGGGCACAGCTGAAGTCGACTTTATTAAAATGAATGAGCGCTGATGTGCGACACCCACACAACAAGCTAACAGGTTTAACACACGTCCCCACACGTCGGTCTTTCATTGCAACAGCAAACGCGTTCTCAGATCATCCCTTTGTTTTGTCAGTGTACCGTCTTGGCAGTCTTGCCCCCCCCCCCCCCCATAAAACAGTATAATGCTGACCACCGCTGCTAAAAGAGGGACCATCCATCAAAAGCAGCAAGGTGCATTGCACAACCTCCGCCCCCCGCCCACGGTCATTTCGCACCGTGCCTGAAAATGACTACGAAAGGCAGCTTCTCGCCAGCGTGACGGGAACCATCAGACCCGGATTTCAGGACATGGCGTTCTAAATCTTTTCTGATGGGTTACAAATTTTATTTAAATTAGTTTTCATTTGTGTTGTTGTGAGGTGGGTTCGCGGGTGTCGCCCTCTGTCCAGATCAAGTTGACCTGTCGTTAAGTTCAGTGTCTCATCTGCTTTAGCGGAGTGGATTAGAACCGCGAGTGTGTGTGTGTGTGACCTGGTGAGCTCGCCTCCTGCAGGGCCACTACTCGGGGCCCGAAAAAGATCCTCCTCACCCCTGCTCCCCTTTTCACAATTTGAGACCCTTTTGTCCTCCTGTCCCCTTTAATGGCCGCCACTGCTGCTGTCCACATACAGACAGTGTGGCCCTGTGCGTTCCATAAGGCACGGCACGCATTCTCAACCACGCTCGGCGTCTCGCCAAACCTCAAGTGCCTTTTTCGCTGCTACAACTTTGGTGCTAAACCCAAATGGAAACACCTATTCCATCGTGAGTTATTCCACGTATGGCAGCTGGGCTGAATGGTGGACACCGCAGGGGGAATGGTACAAAGTCGGGACGCACAGTGACTGTCTGCCCCTCGCAGGTCTTTGGCTCTAATACCAGATTAGGCGAAGCAGATTGTGCGACGCGAGGACGAAGGTTAATCCGGGAGGAATCTCGATTCGGGCTCTCGGCGAGGGAAACGAGGGCTCGTAGTCCAGTGTTTGGGTCGTTAACTTGACTCAGGTTATCATGTCGAATCCTCCCGCCCCACCCGTCTCTTGATTGACAGCCGTTGCCGGGCCATGCCAGCAAATGCCAACGGCTTGTTGATGGATGGCACCTGCTTCTCCTCTGAGGAAATCAATAGAAGCACGTAGCTGGGGAGGGACGTCGGCTGAGTGAGAGAGAGCGTCACCAACCATCTGTGTACGGAGGGGCACTGCCAAGCGTCAGTCCCTTTCTTTTTTATGCCAGCCATCATCAAGACACACAATGTCTCCAAATTAAACATGTTAGCTCCTTTCAGCCGCAGCATCCGGTGTTCAAAGCGCTCACATCGCGCCGTCTCGCTGCACTAAAGGCTCTAACGTTAGTGAGTGATTGTCACCATCCAATAGTTTTCTTTAAACTATTTTTCCTGTGTCTTGCACGGACTTCATTATTACTATAACCACACGTGACACCCTGCAAAGGCAAAGGTTTCGAGGTCAAATAGCAACAGTCGCGCAGCCTCAGAGAGCACATGGGCCGCGCGCGGGGGGGGCCGGCATAGCTACAATCTTAGTGGTGCACGAGCGTCGTTACCGGAGCTCGACCTGAGCCGTCTGCCGGTCTCTATCCGATCTACCACCGTAAGGTTCTTATTTCACTCGAACTCTCTGGCCCACGAAGGAGGCCGGCGGGATCTCCTGGCAGGCGCCGACGCGGCGATGGACCTCCAGGGCGGGGCTCCGGTGGGCCGCCGCCGCGCTGGTGGCGTCGGTGTGCGTGCCGACCCACTGCAGCACGCGGGCGGAGGGCCGGTGGTAAAGGGCCAGCTGCCTGGAGCTGTAGCCGCACAGGCCGATCCCCACGGCCCCCAGGAGCATAGCCAGGCCCGGCATGCTCCTCTCAGCTGGGGGGGTCACAGACACATGGTGGTAGGCCTGCGTCTGGAAGGAGACGGATGCAACGTGAGCGTGTAGGAGAGATCAGAGCAGCCTGGAAGTGACACGTTCCCAGCAAACAACGGCCTGTTAAAGAGTAATGGTTTGTTTATGCGCTAAACGTGTGCATGGGTGCTGATCTGTTTGGGCTTCAAAACGTTTGTTCGCATCGTCTGACTGACTGCCGCAGTTTGTAGCTCAGACTGCCCTCAATCCCCCGGAGATTAAAAACTCATCTTCTCTCATTTACCAAGTCGCAGCCTCTCTCTCTCTCTGACAAACGGAAAGCTCGCCTATTCTGCGATACGGGCAATTTCCTCAGTGGGGCCGTGGCAAATATAGAGCTGTAGCTGTAGGAGCGAATAGTTAGGAAGCCATTCCCGTAGCTCACTCACCCAGTTGCCATCCTCTTTGACAACGCAATGGACTGTCGCGCGCTTGCATTTCTCCATTGTTTGCCAGAAACACCAGCAAAGAAGGCGATTGTGCTTTGTGAGCTAAAACTAAACGGCATAGTGGAACAAACGCATGTTTGAGGATGATGTGTGTGTGTGTGTGTGTGTGTGTGCTGGTACTGTATTTCATCATCCCAGCCATTTTTTATTGTTTTAAAAGGTCTTCAGAACAAAAACAAGTTGCTTTATGCAGCCGCTCGACCCTTGTTCACCTCTACATCAAAGTATCATCGAAAGATCCAAACGAGTGTCACTTAATTATTTTTAATTAAAAAATGACATTTGAATTTGTTCAAAACCCGCCGACACTCACCTGCAGCAGCCGGATGTATCCCGGAGTCAGTCTCGGCACTCTGAAGAACATCTCTGGAGCGGTCCGCGAGGGTCCCCCTGTTGAATCAGTAAAAAAAAAAAGGGGCCAAAGGGCCAGCTGAGTGTCTGCTCTCTCCTTCCTGGACTCCCAGGACGGGACAGCCGGCAACAAGCGGGCCAGTCGGGGTCGGCGCTTCGACCTGTGCTTCGGCTATCTGGGGCAGGACGGGCCAGCCCGGCCCTTATAGAGACGCCTCCCCTGTCCCTGCGCAGCAGGTTACCTGCTGGCGGGGGTTCCTAATGGGATTACAGGAGCCGGCACACGGGGGCCAATAAGTCCGTCCCAACAGGAGGGAGCTTGAGGCTCACTTTGATATCTCAGGATAGCGACTTTTAGTGGAATCCCATTCAAGTTAGTTTTATTCTTGGTTTATAATGTATGCAGAATTGTTTCTAGTGCATAAGTTTATCCCATTGAAACATAAAATGGTTCAAATTGAGGTACATTGTTTGGAAGTAGACAAAGGGATAATAAGGAGGTTTTTGAATTCTTCTCTCCAGCTAAATCATACAAGTAGTGTCAAGTATAATTGACCTTTGAACTTGGCAAAAACGGACAGACGTCGCAGTCCCAAGTCATTTAAAATCGGATCCATGTGAATCTGCCGAGTGGTTTGATTTGAATGTCCTTCTGGTTGATGTTGAGAATGGCTTCTCCCGCCACGTCAGCCGATTTCTTTACTCTTTAATATCCCTCCTAGCCTTGGGGTCCCGGACTCCGTTGAGTGAGGTCCCATAATAAAAGGTAGCTGTGCTGATAACGTCTCCCTCGCTGGAAGAGAGCAGCCAGCAATGACCTTCCTCTCATCTCCGGTAACAGGACTCTGCCTCCCAGCTCATGCGTCCATGAATACCGGCAAACTCTGGCATTAATGCCGCAAAGTCACGCTGTCACTGAAACTCGCGACGCCTACTGGGTTTTAGGCAAAAAAAGGAAACCACTGAAAACGGCGTGAAGCCGTGAATTATTAAAAAGATATATCTCGTCCACATGCTACGGTAGCATTGACCATGTTCATCATCTTGCTATTGGCTCTGAGAGCGGTTGCGTGCCAGACAGATACACAAGGAGCCTCGGCAGGAGCCACACTACTCATAGCGTTGTGACTGTCTCCCAATTACAAAACGTTGAGATAATTGGCTGGTTATGGAGACGCTTTTAGCCGTCGCCGGTGCTCGGGGGGGGGGGGGGGGTAACGGGATCACCAAAGTCGAACGGATTCGTGCTCTGTACGCTGGGAATATCTGTGCCAAATTCAATGGCCATCCGTCAAATACTGATTTGTACATTTCAGTCTCGATCAAAATTGCCGCCGAACACGACACCTCGGCATCCTCAAGAGCCGCTGACACGGCGAAAAGAAAAAGTCCATTCGTCTCCGTCTGCGCATAAACACGTCTCTTTGCGCTCATTGTCTCCTCCGACCAACGGCTGCACGACGTGGCCCCCGAGCTTCCAGCAGACGGCGCCCGGTGCGTCCACAGATGGCCGACCGCACGCACTAATTGTTCACCGCTATAATCCCATTTGGTGAAAGACAAGAGTCTTCTTCTGGAGCCGCCACGTGGCAGACAATGTCACCCGGGTCATCATTCCGAGATAACGCTCTGCCCTCTTCCTGAACTCGTCCCGTGGCACCGACTCGCAGGGAAATGCATTAGAATAGATTACCTGAGACGTTGGCAGGTACTGTGAAAGGTTAAGCTAATGACTCCCCGGGCGGTGCATCAACAGGCTGCTATATTGAGCGCGCGGTTAGATAAGGGCAACAACAACAACAACAACAACAAGTGGGTGGGCGGGATCATAATAACGGTACTCGTGATCTCCAAGTGGAACCAGAGTGTCATCTCTTTTGTGTGTTAATCCGCATTCTTGAGAAAAGGCCGTGAAGTGGTCATAAAGGGATTGGTGGTGAGGGTACGATAGATTAAATTATGGAGCTGTTAGGTCAACAAAAATGTCACATCCTCTGCAAAAAAAAGCTGCAGCTCTTGCAGAGCTTCTGTGGCAGTTCTCTGGCTGTTGATAATATATGTAATGTAAATAATCACAGTATTAACTGCTTTTGTTCTCGTGCAATATAAGATGTAAAAATGGTTAAATTGGGTATAAAAAATGTAATACAAATATTTCATTCAGCTTCACTTCAGGTCAAAGATTGAAGAAGCGATGGAGCACAATGGAGATAATGCGTGAGCGCAGCCCCTGTGGCGGCGTGACTCACCAGCTGGCGGGCGCTTCCGAGGAAGCCTCCTCGTCTCCCTGCATGGGGAGAACGTGTGCGATCCAGTATCGGAACAGGGAAACCACCGCGGCCGTTTCTCCTGAAACGCAAAAGAGACAGAGAGCAACGTTTCGTTCAGAGCACCAGAGGAACTGAGGAGGCTCTTGTTGCCGTATCTTTGGTGAGAACAATGCCCCAAAAAAGTCCCCCACCCAAGATTTTCCTTTTACTTATTCCTGAAGGCCGCAGAATTAAATTGTGGGTTCCGTGAAGTGTTTATCAAGGTGGATGTTGAATCAAAAATATCGAAACCTTTGAAAAGAAACGTCACACTGCAGCGAATCGTCGAATGTAGCAAGAACGCCGGTGCCCTTCAACTAAAATTGAATTGATTTATTTTCATTCACGTTTTCTTCACAATGAAGTGAATCAAAGCATGACTCATACAGCGTTGGGGGGGCGTGGGGGGGGCAGAGGGGGTAGGTGAGAGGGGCTGAGAAGCTTTCAGGCGGCTGATGAGCAGGTGCATAAAGAGCAATACTGCTGGCAGAAAACCAAAAAAGGTTTTTTAATGTATTAACTATTTATATGGTGTCTCGGGGACAAGCAGAATCAAGCCAGCCTGAATCTTTTCAAAACATTTTTAGAACATGTATATTTAGACTTTTCTTTCCATGACATATTTCACCCCAATACATTTTTCAACAATATTGTTTGACTTTTTCCTCCAAGATATTTTCAGTACTAATGTGTTGACTTTCTTTTTAAACTATTTTTTTTAAGAATAAGCCGGTGACCTGATTCTCCTCACTAGTCTCTCTTTACCTCTCCTCCCCACACATAAACACTCCCGCTGATCCTATTACGCAGCCAGCCTGCCCACCATGCAAACACGCGGCACAGACTCACGTGCACGGCCGAAAAACGAGGCTAAAAAGAGGTAAAGTACGGGCACGCACGGCGGCATGGACGGACGGACGGGGATGGAAGCGGGACACGAGCACGGAGCGGCGCTAAGAACGCGCCGAGTCGCCTTTCCGTGACCCCTCCCCCGCTGGATTGGAATTCTGGGATGTTTCGGGAGCGCTGACCTGAGGGCAGAGGAGAGGTGCCGAGGAGCTCCACCAGGGCCTTTTCCAGGTTGTGCGGCTGTCGCCGCTGAACCAGGGCCTTGAGGGCGTAGAGCTGCTGGAGGGCGGAGGGGGGGCAGCATCCGCCGGCCACGCGGCTCAAAAGGTTGTTCACGGTCCCGCACAGGAGGGGGCGCTGGTCCGAGCGCAAAGAGGCTGCAGAGGCACGGAAGAAGTGAGAGGGGGTCAATTTAAAAAAAAAGCATTGACGTCACGGTTTTAGAATCTTTCTGTAATCATTTCAGTCCCAGAAACAAAGCTGTAAGCTTCATAGTTTGCACCAGATGATCACAGTTGATGGCCTCCATCATCATAGCATCATTTTAAAAATATCAAAATTTAACCAATACTTTGCAGTGAGAATGTACGAAACTGGCTGATCCTAAAAAGCAGACCTCGCTCTCATAAATACTTACGATCTGACATATAGGTTTCCATTGTTGTCCTCAGGAAGTCTGACACCTCAGCGGCTCTCGTCTCGTTATCTTCCTCCTCCTCCTCCTCCTCAGCCTTCCGGTAGGTGAACTCCAGTGCAGCGGCCCGCGGCATCAGACCCATGGCGAGCAGCTTCTCTTTGTGCCGTTTCTTCTTCAGCTTCCTCTTCTTGTTCCTGCTCATGTTCTCCCCGCCCTCGTCCTCGGGGGCCCGACTCCGACCCGGGCCGGACTCACTCACGCCGGCTGCTCCGTCCTTGCCGGAGTCCTGGTGTCGGTCCGGTTTCCTTTTCCTTCTCTTCCTTCTTCTTTTCGGTTCTTCTTCCTCCTCTTTATCTTGGACTGGTTCCTCATCGCTATCACGGTCTGTTATCCTGTCTGCAGGCAAACGGATCAAACAACTCTGGATTAGTTTGTTTTCTTTAATTGTTGAGTTGAACCAATCCTTTGCTGTGCTAAGAGATGGCGGGCTTCCTTCCATCCAATCACTGCACCAGCTGATCCCACTAATTAAGTCTTTAAAAATGATTGCATTCTAATCAGCTGGTGTGCTCACTGATTGGAAATAAAACCTTGCACAATCCTTGACCTCATATGGAGCAAAAGCGTTAAACCAAAAGGTGGTTAACAAGGGAACAATAGCATCAGTACAACGTATGTGCAGGGTTACGTGGTGCCTCTTGAGCGAGTCGCAGACAAAATCCTCCATTAAGTCTTTCTAATTCTCTCTGCATGTGCTGATTGTGACCAGTTCTCTCATTCATATTCATGCACTCTGATGAAAGACCAAATAACAACGGGCCAGACGGGACGCTTGTGCATTAGCTTTTTCATGCTGACAAAGACAAAAGTAGCACAACAATAAATGTTGCAACTGTGTTAGATCTTTCTCTCCTGTCGTGTCTTATAACTTAGACCCCGTTCACACGATGGGAAAACGCATATGTTTTCATGCGTTTTGGCCTTTCATTTACACAAAAACGGAGGTTTTGTCACAGAAAACGATCATTTCTAAAAACTCCGGCCAAAGTGGAGATTTCTGAAAACTCTGTTTTTGTGTTTGCGTGTGAACTAGGTCAAACAGTGTTTTAGGTTGTCAAACGTCGCACAGTATGCGACTAAAAATGCTTCACGTCATGTGAGCGTCCTATGTTTACAGTTAGAAAAAAAAGGAAGTTGATCGTGTTTTTCGTAGTTGTTGTTGGTTTTGAGAATTCTGATTGGTTTGCATGTCTTTATCCTTCTCGTTACACTGTCGACTACAGGTTTGGCATAGTTATGATGGCGCCCGGGGGCCGTATTTATGCGGGTTCATATAAACAAACTTTTTTGAAAACGACCATGTGTGTACGACGTTATTTTTGAAAACGGAGGGGCAGAAATATTTGTTTCTGTAAATCCCCGGCTATGTGTAAATGTGGCCTTAAATTGAAGGACTCGGGCTGAACTGTGATCCCACACAGAAGCTGCACTCTTGCCGGGCGAGCTGCTTCTTCCGCCCCTGCCCTCCGCTTTGCAACCCAAGAGGCGTTAAGAGGTCCGAGAAACCAGCTGTGATAGAATCCTCAGTGGCCCTCTGTGAGTAGCGAACTGGCCCGCGGCCAAAGACGGTGGAAGTGCAGCCGCAAACGATTTCGAAGAGACGGACACCTTTACTGACGACAGTCTGAGGATCAATGAAGCGAAAGGTGGACATTTTCATTGATTATTCAACCGATGTGCCGTCTGAACTGCACGGTTCTATTCGCTGCAGAAAACTGAACCAACCTATCCTGTATCAATGTGTGTTTAAGCCTAAATGCACTTCTTTCAACTGCTGTGTCTGTCACAATGTCGGGAAATTAGACAAAGACTGAATATGAGGACGACATGAACTGTTTTGCCATCGATAGGAACACTGGACCAACTCAGACTTACGTTAGGCAGACGAGTGCATTTAATCAAACTTATTCTAGTGGTCCCACTAAGTCTCAACCAACACATTGGTTGTATTTTGTTGACGTAGAGCTGTGGCCTGTCCGGTAAATGAAGGTATGCATTGAGGAAGATGATGAGTATGGAGACCCGCCTGGACTCCCGTCACAGAACCTGCGGATGGACCGCAGACCAAATAAGCGGCCGTTAAATTATGTACTCAACTGCAGCTTGGATAGATTGCTCTGTTTACTTTGACAAACAACACCGATTAAAGTGAAAATAGCGGAGGCTCCAACACCATCGGTGATGCATTCACGTTCAGAAAGACAATCGATCATCGCGGTTTGTCTTTGTTAAGTTGAGTGGATTTAACACATGATGGAGCGAGGCTGCAGAAAGCCCACGCAGTAAATCTCTCTGGTGCACAGTACATTGCCTTACCAGCTGGGTCGTCTGCACTATTTACGCTTTCTAACTGGGGGAGTGTGACGGATTTCTCTGAATCTGTCTTGTGGTCAGTGGGGGGAGGCAGGACTGTGTACATCCGCCTGCCTGGATTGGCAGCGATCGGCTTCCTTCCTGCATCTCCTGAGACAGAAAACAAAAGAAGTAAGCCTCAATGCATATGTAAGAGGAGCGGAGGGATGTTCTGGCACGGCATGTATGACTGTGGATTTGTTAATGTGTATATTGCAATACCAAAAGTTAAACTGAAATCACCAGTGGCCGTCTCCCGTTGAGAGGCTTTTCCTTTCACGTGGGTTTTTCTGGAAAGAGCATCTACTGTGCCTGGTGGGCTCAGTTCCTTCTCCCGTTTGGGAGGCGCAGGGTACAGCTTTTGGAAGACTTTTGATTGAAACACTAAGGGACATGAGAAAAAGTGACACAAAACAGAGACAACCACCTGTTAACCTGATACAATATTATTTTAAATGTCATGCTGATTGGCATATGAATGAAATGTAGTCAAGGGTTCATAACTATGCAAATCTATTTTTGATGAACTCAATTAACGTTAAAAACTGCTATTATAAAGGTACTAGTGATATTCGTAATACTAACAGTTATAACATATTTCCATTACAACTGATAAAACTACGGATTTAGTAAATATTTGTTTAACTAAGTTCAGCACAAAGGTAAAACATCACCAGAAGTCTTAGAGATCTGAATGGGGAAAAGAAAGGCTCTCGTATTCTGCCGTTGACACAATAACCTTGTATTTGGTATCGGTGTTGAAGTTTCACTGTAGCCATAATGTGACAGTAGAGCACGTGCATTTGTTTACAAGGCAAGAGCCCACTTAACGCGATACTTGGGCCGCTAACGTTAGCTCCGTTAGCTAGCTGCTCACACGTCTAAGTTTAACTATATGAGCGGAATAATGTTCTCGACGACGCAGTTGGTGCTCACCTTCTTCCCTGCGTGCCATTGTGACGTGTATGTCTGCGTGGAGGCGAATAGGACGGAAATGTAACGCAACATGTGTCTGTAGCTAATCCAGCTAGCACGCTAGCTGAGGTAGCTATCCAGTCGGCTAAAGTTAGCTTCTAGAATTAGCTCGATTCATGACGGATTCACAGCATCAGACACCGGTGATATAATCGAAGTTGCTCGACGGGCTGCGTTCATATAGCTAAATAAATAGCCCGTGTTCACCACACTTTAAAAAAAGTAAGTCTGCTACGGTTGTCAAAAGAGGTACGATGCTCCGACCGCTCCAGCTGCGCTCCTCCCCTTCGAGGGACCACAGAGCGGTCGTGGTGACCGACCCTCCGTCCGGTTCCCATTCATACTTTCATCGATTTCACGTATCCACAGTTGCCATAAAATACGTGTAGCGTATATCTTTTATATCAATGCATAACTCGAATCTGTCGAATCCATTCTTCACATCGGCATATACAGCAGACGTTAATTTTTGCGGAAAGTTTCCATTGACAACTTTCTTTTCATGAAGTGCGATAAACGAGCCCAGAGCTCCCCGTGTGTTCGAGTCCTGTAATAACAGCACGTTGGGGGCGGGGGCGGGGGCGGGGGAGGGGCGGGGGGCGCACACCGAGCCAGCGGGAGGATGGAGAAGAAGCGAGGTGAGAATACTAAGCAGCCTCCTCATGGCTCAGCATCAGCACCGGAATGAGGTAGGATTTGCGCACCCTCCAAACTTCGCTTGGGACCTCAGCATGTGAACGGGCTCTGCAGGAGGAGGATCCACCTAGGATGTCAGCTCTGAAGAAGGTAACCCCCCCCCTAACCTCTCCCTATCTCCATCTCATATTCATCTATGAGCAGGTGTTAACTCCTAACATAGAACACATGCATTAACGTGGTGTGCAGCTGTGTGAAATGGGTGTGTTAAAGCAGTTTGGGTGCATGACTTTCTTAATTGGTTCTGACTTTTGGACAATTGGCTTTTTAGAAATGTAAGAACCTTTCATAATTGTAACTATATTAATTACAAAAATGCTAATTTATTTAAATAAATAAAATATGACAACATATCTGCATCACTTGGATGCACAATCATTTTGCTTCGGATGGGAACCATTTCAGGCAGAAAAAAAAGCCCAACTTCTCAACTGCATGTTATGTTGGATTTGTTCTCTCCTCGACTCCTTCCTTTTGTTCACTGTCACGTATTCTTGCATGTGCAATGCGGACTGTCGTCTCTTAGAGTGTATTATGGCTTTGGTTGACTGTATCTGAGTTCGAACCAAGCACCGGCGGTCCTGAATGAGAGCGGAGCGCCAGCGAGCTGAAGGAAAGAGGGCTTCGGATGAGCTCTCGGTTTTGAAAGAATCAGGAAACTAAACACAGACCTGCACAAACATGTTACATAATACCTGGATGGGAAAAATGCACATGAACAATTCACAAGCCCTCTCATATATAAAGCGCTGAGACTTGTGACTGGGAAATTATTACTGCTTCAGGAATCAAACCTCTTCTATTCTTGTGGATGTTGCACATTAGAAAAGTTGCTGGTTGGTTTAAAAAGCTCATCGTCCCTGTCAGTTCTACAATCATTGCGTGGTTTAAAATTCAGTGCAGTCGCAAGTTTAGACGTCCGAGCTCCGATAGATCGCCGTGAGTGAGCGACAGAAAACGAAGGGCTGCCGAAACCGCAGCACAGTCCTCCTCAGTACTCGGCACACGCTGCCAGTGACAAAGTGCCGGCTGCCAGGACTCACGTAGTCAGACGTCATAATCACAGAGGTCCTAAAAATAGGGGAACATGTTCATTGCAATGCTTTAGGAGCTCATTGGAGTTACTGCTGTTTGTCCTGGCAGAAGTTCTGCTAAGATCCCCCCGGGGGATGTGGCGCTGCTACCCTGCTCAATAATACAAAACCTCTTTATTTTTAGACAGTAGTGGTCAGCCAGCTTTTTCTCAATGACACGCAGCCGCTTGGGTGAAACTTGGACCGGACTTCATTTTCCACCATAGCAACAAGCATGTTTTATTTTTTCCCCCCATATCCATTCATAAGTAAGGCAGCGAGAAATGTGCTGTAATGCCGTGGCAGCTCAACATAATGACTTTGAAGCAACAAGGGGGGTAATTGACAGTGTCTCTGTGCGTGTTGCCTGATGGGTTTACTTGTAAAATATTCTTAGCTTGTCTGTACTGAAGAAAAAAGTGGGAGTGTTAAATATACATCAGCTCTGTAAGTCCTCATGTGACTGAAAAATAATTGACCAGCTTTAGGGACGAGGCACTTTTCCCCTCATCCACATCACTCCCTGTGCTTTCCACCAGAGATGCACCGGTACCGGTGCACATGAATACAAGCGTTTAACTCAAGCCCCATGTTGCCTGACACACGAGTGAATGAACACCGGCGCTTTCACTCGGTGGAGGCATTCAGTCTTTCGATTACACTCGGTGCCTCCAGGTACTGCGTCCCTACTCCGAACCAGTCATAAGAGATGGCGAAATCTTGTCGCATCCTACGAGGCAATTTCTTGGCTTAGGAAGAAGAGAGCCTTATTAAAAGCATCAAAAGAATGAAGGAACCCCCCCAAAAAAACTAATTGGAAACTGACACCATTTCTCCCCAGAAGCTGTTTGTAATTGAAAGTAGCTCATTTCAAGAGATTTCCAAAGCGGCAGTCAAATTGCTCTTGTGCATGAGCACGCAAACACACACACACACGCGGCTACACAAACAGACGCGCCCCGAGTTGTCAATGGACTTGAAGTAGTCGGCAGTGACACGAAAAGGCTTTCATAATCTGTTTGAAGATGCAGGGAGAACTCCAAACGCTACATTTCTGCGTGTGGGCTAAAAAGTAAAGGTTGAAACACGCACACACAGACACACACATCTGTAATAGCTTGGCTTCAGGGGATGGATGGATCAAGCTTTTTGAATCTCATAATGCAAGCGTGTGATCTGTATAGTAGTTTGTGTGTGTGTGTGTGTGTGTGTGTATACCTGGCCACCAACTCCACTCAGCCAATCACCTTTTGTGCTGCGCTGTGCACAGATGTTTCAGGCCAGCAGGTGTCATTGCACGTCCTCCCAGTGTTACGGTTACCGCAATGGCTGCCACGCAGCCTCAAGTCAGATGCAAGTCATTACAAGGCGCATTAACAAGCCGGCCCGTCGTCTGTAACCTTTCCTCTCTGCTCTAATTGCACGGTCATAAATATGATCCCCTTAGTTGGTCTAATTGTTATTTATGAGGATTTTACCAGGCGGCCTTAGTCAGCCGGACAAAGTCCATTTCCATCATGACAAGGAGTCAGGACGGCCCGTGCGTCCTTTCAGGTGTGCGCCTTTTGAAAAGAAACCATGCAAGCTAAAATCATAGCTTGGTCTGAAAATGTTTGCAAAAGTGCCCCCGTCGAAGTTCAGCCCTGATTCAAGTGGAAGACCTCGCACGACTCCTGGTAGAGTACAAGTCCTAATACCATTATCGTTGGCGAGAGGCCCGGCGCTTTTACAACCGAGACTTTACTCTCTCCTTCGAACGGAAGCAGTGAACTTGAATATATTAGCTCAATGAAGAAGCCCGCTCCAGTGAAGGACATGAATCTCCAGATTGTTAATTAGTGCTTAATAATCCCAATGTATTCAAGCTGAGATTGAGAATATTCCTAGTACATCCTTGTTTCTGTTGTTCAGCAGATGCATTGCTTGCCTTGATGCATGAGCATTTAGGTGAGGGGGGGGGTTCTAGTTAAATATCAGCTTCACTTTTTCCTTATATGAGGGACACTTTCCCACACAGACATACTTACGAGCTTCAGGAAGCCCCCAGCTTGTGGATTTCTCCTACTCAATTGCATCCTATCGAAAGGTGCCTCCAACACTTTCCGTGTGCAAACCGCATCTCGCGCTCCATCCACGCCACCACACGTGCCGCGGCTACAAGAAGGCAGCGGACAGGAAGATCCTTCAGGGCCGCGTTGGAGTGACTCTACTTCCCGTCCATTCCCCTCTGTAACGTCTCCTCTGTCCCCAAGAGCGTCACTCCGGCCCTCGGCACCGGGCGCCCGGATATCCCATCATACACGGGCGTAATTGGCTGTTCCCAGCAGTAATGGTGTTGTCCACGTGGCCGCTGGGTCGACCTGAAACACCACACGGACACGAGGCGTTCCTTTCAGCTGCTCTACGCCGCGGTAAAACTCAAATAATCCTGCAGGGGCATTAAATCAACCTGGCGCATCGGAGCTAGAATTGTTTTTGAGGCATTTGCACCAGGTGGACGGGGAGGGGGGGGTGTTCTCACCCGGCTGTACTAGAACGACAAGAAATGAGCGGCAGTTTGTGTAACGGTTGAATCAGAGAACCAATTTCTGATGATGAGACTGGCCCCATTACACAGTAGATAAAACGACCTGCGCGGAGGGAGGGAGGGGGGGGGGGGGGGGGGGGGGAGTAATCAGTTCTTTAGTGTTCGCCGTCATTTCCAGAGAGAAGGTTTGCTCGCGGACTGAAATGGTTTGTGATTCACCTGCGCCGCCCCGTCCGATTGTCAGTTAATGAGCCGGCGTTTGTTTCTGTCCTCGGGCCTCGGGAGTCTTTGTGTCTCCCTCTCGGGCACGCTGGTGACGTAGAGCTTGGCTCTGTGTAAAGAGGTGGCTCAGCTTTGTCAGACATAGTAAAGATATATTTGAACTAATAATGACCATCATTCATATGGCTGTTTTGTTTTAGTAGAGTGTGACTCTACTAAACTAGTGACTTCAGTAGCTCATCCGTCTCATTTGGATCTCTGGAGTTACTTTAGTGTCTGAAGTTGGTGCCGTGGTTTGATGCCACACTAGTGTAGAATAATACAGACTAATACGCACACAAAAATGCACCCTGTACCTGAAAATGTGCTTGATTGTATAGCGTGATGACCGCAGTAGTAAACTTTAGAGTAATGTCACAGGGTGACAACATGGAGGGGAGGATGAAGTCCTTCTTCTGACATCCTCAGGCTTAAAAGACCACCGGCCTTGATGGAAGAGCTCGTGGTAAACCGCTACGACGTTGTCCAAAGGAGCC